GTTTCTGGGAAATTCGTTTGTTATATTCATATTTACTAATACTTTCAAACTAAAAAAATCTAACCTTTTAAATAGTTAGAGAAATAACTGGAATTTTTAAAGGCTGCCACGATCCGCGTGCCGCAAAGCCATAGTTAAAAATGCCTTTTGTTCAATTTTATGAATGTAACTTTCCCACATTCAAGCAAAATTCTATTGTAGAAAATAACATTCTTGTAGCATCTCTCACAAAATTTTACTTACGCTTTTCTAAAGCCTAATATTTTTGAAAACAAATATTCAACACAAAATAATAATAAATGTAATTTAACATAGTGAATACGAGTACAAACAAATTAATGCATTTTTTTGATTTTAGAATATAACGATACATTTATATATATTTTTTATTTTTTTTTTCATTTTATATTTGATAACACAATATATTCAAGATATGTATAATCAATTTAAGTTTGAATTGAATAGAATTTTGTATTTATAATAGCGTTCACTTACACTGTAAAAATTTTTATTATAAAATATCAAATAATGTTTCAGTTTGTTTTTCATACTGTAACAAACATTAAAAAACTTTTATCAAAACTTTTTTATTAGTCAGCAGTACTTATCAGTGGCGTTTTCCGAAATGTTATACATATTTCTTTTTTATTGTTGGCGGCGCCAAAGTGAAATCGGAAAACTTTGATCATGCCCGAATCTGATAGTGATCGTAAAATCTGTAAAAGTTTCAAGCCAGACGTCGCAAATAGGCTCCTTATCTTCGATCAAACAACTCATGATTTGCCAAATGTTTTCATATATTTTTAATTTTGTTTAAATTGCATTTATTTTTAAGCTTTATAGTTATTTAATTGCCAAATTGATTTTATAATAAGACTTTCATGTATTTTTTACTCAATTTTTATCTTTATCAATCGGCTATTAGTTGTACATGTATCAAAAACGTTTGATCAAAATTAGATTTTATGCTACAACTTGTTTTAATATTATTTTATTGTTTGATAAAGAAAATGTGTAATTGTTAATTTTATTTTAACTTTACGAATTAAATTGAATTAGTTTTATGGATTTATTATACTGCGAGTTGTTTTTTTTTTTTTTTGTTTGAACAGCGATCAACTCTTAAGATTCCTGTTAGCTGTTGTGATAAATTTCTTACAAACTACGTTTGTTTTTATAGATGGCAACTCGAACAGTTCTTCCACCTCTTTCTGATGACTTATTTTATTATTATTATTATTATTGTAATAGTGGTGGCCTTTTTATTGATTTCCAAGTGAAAACCGATGTCACTACTGCTTGACAACAGGCTGCTCGAAGAGAGATCGAACCCGAGACTTCTGATTCAGGATGCGAGTTGGTTGTTGAATAAAATTTATAGCAAGAATATTACAAGCTTTAAGAATATATATTGTCTTCGACGAGGTGTCTTTCCCGATTAGTGGTTAAAGCTCTGAGCTTCCAATCAGATGTTCCAAGTTCGAAACCCGTCAGCAGTGACATCGGTTTGCTTTTGAAAATGTATAGTAATATGTTTCCAAGTAGAAATTTATCAAAAACACATAGGCCAACTATTGGGTTTTTTTCTAACCAGCCAGGTTATTAAAAATCCATCACAATAAGCTTATAGGACTACTATAGTGGTCCTACTATAAACACTGATTACTGTAATAAAAAAAACTGATCAGATAAAACGGTATCATGAAAATGAGTCAATGTTGCAGTATTTTGTGCTTACTTATGTGCTTATAAATTTATTTATCCATTTAAACATTATGTACACCCGCAAGAAAAGTGACACAAGTCAAAAAAAAAATTTGGCAGTAGAGCAATAATAAAAACTTGAAAGTTTGAATGGATTCCAATTATTTGAACGCGTGTAGTAGTGTTTAACAGAACATCCAAAATTCCCCTTTATGACTTGTGTCATTTTTCTATATCTTTAACTTCCCGTAGAGTAAGTTATAGTAATCGTTTTAGCATTACGTTTCAAAACCTTCTGAACATTTTGACATGCATTAGAAAAATGGATGTATGTGTGTTCGTATACAATTTTCGTCGACGATTTTGGGAACACAGTTTAACCGATTTGAATGATTCAAACACACTCGATTCGGGAGATGTGCTGATCAGTTTTGACCAATGCAGGTCCTGCTGTTTCGAAGGTATGGGCAAAAAGTGCAAAAAATGGTATTTCAGTTTTTGAAAGAACGGAGCGTCCGATTTCAATAATTTAAAAAAAACATTTTACTTGTATTGGTAAAATAAAAAACGGATTATTAAATTCTTGGAAGGTAGGTCAAGCGGTTTGGAGGTCGAGTAAATAAAGTAAAAAAACGGCATTTGGCGGTCAAGAATGATCATGAGACATATGCACATCAAATATCAGATATGTTATATAGATTTTAATAATAAGTTATAATTTTGTTTACATTACTATGAGTTCTGTAACAATGTTTATCCGTAAGACTGCGACGCGGCGCTTACGCGCTTCGGTATTTTGTTTCTACACAGCTGAAGCAGCGCGATTGTTTGAAAAAAAATTCAAAATATTCAAAATATAAAAAAATCGAAAAGTCAATTTCTCTCAAAAATTTCAAAACGGTCAAAAATCTATTTTCTTCAAAGTTTTCACAAAATTGTCAAGCATTTTTCAAAAAAAAAACATTTTTTTTCCTAAAATTCCTGAAAATAACAATATTTTTATGTCACACATATATGACTGATAGCTCTATATTAAAACTTTTTATTTTCTTTTACCAAATCGCGTATGTCATACATATATGTTTAACATGGCTGATGTAGAACTTTTCGTCAGACACATATGAATGACATAGCAAACTACTGGGGCGCATGGCATCGTGCCTTAAACCAAATTGCTGGAACTTCCCGTACCAAAAAAAAATTTTTTTTAAAAGATTAACATTTTTGAAAAAAATTTACTCTGAAAAATTAGATTTTTGAGAAACTATAAATTTTTGACCAAATTTACTTTTTTTTGAAAAAAAGAATTTGAAGAAAAGAAAAGGTATTTTGAAATATTTTGGAAATTCTGAACTTTTTTCAAAGCAATTGTACTGCTTTAACTGCATAGAGACGAAATATCGAAGCGGAAACATTGGTACGGAACCCATAGGAATGTAAACAAAATTTATACTTATTGTTAAAATCTCTTTAAATATCTGATAATTTTGATGTGCATATGTCTAATGATCATTTTTGACCGCCAG